ATTTTGTGTGGACATATGTTTTCAATTCTCTTGGTTATATACCTAGGAGTGGAATTGCTGGGTTATACGGTAACTACGTTTAACTTTTTGAGGAACTGCCAAACTGCTCAATTTTAAATCCCTACCAACAACGTATGAGAGTTCCAATTGATTCATCTCCTTGCCAACACTTGCTATTATCTCTTTTTATTATAGCTTTACTGCTGGGTGTGAAGTGGTACCACATTGTAGTTTTGCTTTCCATTTCCCTGATGACTAGTGTTGCTGACCATATTTTCATGCGCTTACTGGCTATTTGTAATCTTCTTTGGAGAAATATCTACTCAGATCATTCACTCATTTTTAAAATTGGGTTATCTGTCTTTTTACTGTTGAGTTATGAGTTCTTTACATATTCCTGATACAAGTTTCTTATCAGATATATGATTTGCCTTCTTAAAAGCTACATGGTACTGTAGCAGATACACGTATAGAATATATTTCTCTACTAATGGAAATTTAGGTTTCCAACCTTTTGCTAATATTAAGAATCCCACAGTTAATAACCTTTCACATGTATCTTTCCATGTGTACTAGCAGTAGTACTTCCCAAACTTTAACTTGCACACCAATCACCTGTGGATCTTGTTAAAATACAGGTCTGATGTGAAGCCAAGATTCAGCATTTCTAACAAGCTCCTGATGATACTGATGCTGCTAGTCTCTGGATAACACCTTTGAATGAATAGCAAGGGACTAGTTATCTGTAAAGGAGCCCTGGTGGTGCAATGGTAAAGTGCTTGGCTGCAAACCCAAAGGTTGGGGCTTTGAACCCAGCAGCCACTCTACAGAAAAAAAGACCAGGCAATCTGTTGCTGTAAAGATTACAGCCTTGGAAACCCTATGGAGCAGTTCTACCCTGTCCTATAGGGTCACTGTGAGTTGGAATTGACTCGATGGCACACAACAACAACAGTTTATCTGTAGGACAAATCCTAAATGCAGAACTGTTGGATCATAAGGCACATGCATTTCTAATTTGGGTAGTTTTTGATAAAATGCCCTCCACAGGGATTGTACCAATTTATACTCTCATCAGCAATGCATGAAAGTGATTACTTCCCCACAGCCTCACCAACCAAGGGTGTTATCGAATGTTCAGATTTTTCCAATCTGATAGGTAAAAATGAATTCTCTTTTTTAGTTTTAATTTGCATTTATCTTCTTTTGAATGACATCGATTATCTTTTTCATATATTTAAGAGCCATTTGTATTTCACTTTCTGGAAGCCTTTTTCTTGAAATACTCTCTACTTAACAGTTTCTTTGATATGAGACTCTTCAGGTGATTCTTCTCTTACTTACTTAGCTTATCCTTCTTTTTCTCATTCAAAAGCTACTACTCCAATATCTGACCCTAAAATGTTAGAATTTTTAGGGTTGGGTCGCCTTTTTTCTTCTCCCTTATTGTCTCTAAATGATCTCATTTCTTACTGACTTTAAACATCTTCTACATTCTGGTGACTCCCAAATTTCTATCTGCAGCCAAAATTTTCTTTTTGAACTCCAATCTTACATTCCCTAAACCAAAACCAAACCCATTGCCATCGAGTCGATTCCAATTCATAGCGACCCCATAGGACAGAGTACAACTGCCCCATAGGGTTTCCAAGGCTGTAATCTTTACAGAAGCAGACTGCCACATCTTTCTCCCATGGAGTGCTTGTGGGTTCAAACTGTCGACCTTTCGGTTAGCAGCCGAGCGCTTTAACCACTGTGCTACGAGGGCGCCTTTCTTACATTCCAGTATCTTCTTAACACCTCCCTTTGAATGTTTCATAGGCATTCGAAACTTAACACATCCAAAAGAGAATTTCTTTCTGTTTCTCTCTTTCTATAAATGGTACGAAGATCCACCTAGCTGCTTAAATTAGAAACATGGTTGTCATTATTGATTCTTCTCTCTCACTGCCAACCCCCAATCTACCAGCAAGTCCTGTTTCTCCCTTGAATCTACCCATTGCTGTCGAGTCAATACCAACTCACAGCAACCTTATAGGACAGATAGAACTGCCCCATAGGGTTTCCAAGGCTGTAATCTTTATGGAAGCAGACTGCCACATCTTTCTCCTTCAGAGTGACTGGTGGGTTTGAACCACCAACCTTTAGGTTAGCAGTTGAGCGCTTAACCACTACTTTTCCTCATTTCTACTGCTCCCACGCTAGTCCAAACCATAGTTATATCTCAGTTAAATGACTGCAAAACTCTCCTCAGTGCTTCTCAGTGGTGACACTGATGACGTGTGGAAGGACAATTTGTAGCTGAGCAGGACTACCCAGCACATTATAGGATGTTAAGCAACCTTGGCCCCAGCTCTCTAAATGCGAGTGACCCCTAGCCACTGTGACAAGTGAAAATACCCCACATTTCCAAACATGCCCAGTGGAAGGGATAAGTCTGAAAACTGGTCTCTCCACTTCTATTCTTACCCCTTCCAATCCACGTATCACACATATTTATCTTTTTGTATCATAAATCAGATTACATTATTTCCTTCGATAAAACCCTTGAATACGCTGATAAAACCCTTGAATATGCTGAGAAAACCCTGATACACTGCAAATAAAATCCAACTTCTCTACCATGGCCTATAATATAGCTTGTGTCTAACACTATGATATCGTCTTGGATTTCTGCCACCATCACTCCTTGCTTCATGTACTCTAGCCATGTTTACATCCTTTTAATTCCTCAAATGCACCACTTTCTTTCTAACCTCAAGGCCTTTGTACATACCGTCTTCTCTGTGTGGAATACTTTTCATTCCACTCTTCCATAACAAACTCCTTTGCCTCCAAGTCTCATTTTAAATGCTACCTCTATTAAGAATCTTCCGTGATCACTCCAACTAGAACATCTCTTCTCTTGTTCTCCATCATGGGTCTGGTCAGATTAATTAGTGGCATTTATCCAAAGTTATAATTAATATTTTACTTGTTTACTATCTGTCTACCCTATCAGACTACAAGCTCCATGAAAGCAGAGGCCTCTTTGTTTTCCAAGTACCAACACAATGTTGCAGACAATCTTTAGATTAAGAAGGTATCATGCATAAAAAGAGGAAATTTTTAATAATTGGATGAGACTTCTACACTTGTAGTCAATTACAAAGGAGCCCTGGTGGCACAGTGGTTACGCGCTTGGCTGCTAACCAAAGCGTTGGCCGTTCGAACCCACCAACTGCTCCACAGGAGGAAAATACGGCAGTCTGTTTCCATAAAGATTATAGACTTGGAAATCCTATGGGGCAGTTCTACTCTGTCCTACAGGGTCGCTATGAGTTGGAACTGACTCAATGGCAATGGGTAGTTAGTTACACATTGCAATTTCTATCACCCCCTCCCCTGTTACAATAATCAAGCTAAAAATCTCAAAAAGCAATTGACTTATATACATTCAATTCTAAGTCATAGTTTAAAATAAAAGACAGTAAATAAAAGGTGAAATGCTATGCTTAACCAGAAACATCCTCTCACCCTCACGTCTGTCTAAAATGATACTCAGGTCACACTAATAAAATTAACTTCTATTTTGTTCAATAAATTTCAAGTCAAGCAACTGGTTAAAAACTTCAAAGTGAGGGGACCTCATACCATCAAGAAAGCAGTGCCAGGAGCAGAGCGTGTCCTTTGGACCAGGGTCCCTGCGCCGAGAAGCTCCTAGTCCGGGGAAACAGTGATGAGAAGGCCGAGAGAAAGCCTTCCCCTGGAGCTGATGCCCTGAATTTGGACTTTTAGCCTACTCTGACTATGAGGAAATAAACTTCTCTTCATTAAAACCATCCACTTGTGGTTTTTCTGTTGTAGCAGCACTAGATGACTAAGACACTGGTTTTTCGTCTCTAGAGAACCCAGGCTAAGACAGATATGTTCCCTTTTCTGCATCCACAATAAAGAAGGTCGCCTAACAAAAATGATGTCATTAAATGAGAAAAATACATGTATAACACATATTTTGTATTGAGGATTTAAAATGTATAATATAAGGATAAATAGAAACAAGAGATTAAAAAAAAAAATTCCAGTGTAAGTTATGACTACCAAAACATTCAGATTATGTATATTAGCACAGAAACAATACAAATTCCTGAAGGATTTTGTGTGTGTGTGTGTGTGTGTGTGTGTGTGTGTTTAAGAAAAACGTGCCTATGACAGGTGAAATCCTGGAAGGCTCTCTACTTTAGAGTTTTGAAACTCTAATACTCTTCCTTTTTGCTTTTGGGTTCGACAGATTAAAAGGCACTTGGTCATTAAATACCTTTAAAGATACTTATCGGAAAATTTTACTTTGCGGTACGAATATACAGAAACAATTTGTAACCTGGGAAGGTGTTAGTATTGAAGAGTAATATTTGAACAAGAATTGCTTGAGGAGGAATTTACTACTTCAGACAGGCATCAATAGCAGATGGTGAGACCTACTGGGAAATAAATACAAGTCTTGGAGAAGAGAATATTATATTGTGGTAAATACAAGATCTGATGCAGCAGAAATCTCTCTCTGGAAACTGAAGTTAAATTGCCCATGAATGTTTTATAAACACTTTTTTTATGGAAGAGCTAAAAATTAATCAGAAAAGAAGTGGTACGTTGGATAGCAAGATTTGTGCAGAAATGTCTCAGGATCCGCTAGAAGCAATAGGATCTCTCTCTGGAATTTGTAAAATGTACAAGTTCACAACACAACTTTTTAATCATATTTTTTGGAGTTTAAGTTGTTTGACTGTAACACTGAATAAAATGTTTAAATGTTACATTGAAGAAAAAGATAATAAAGTTTTTTAAAGGGAAAAAAAAACTTCAAAGTGAATATAAACAAATTCCTAATTGATGCATATGGAAAGCAAGTAAATCGACCAAGTGGAACGACAAATAAATATACTTAAAGAGCACAATTCAGTGAAATCTCAAAGTACTTTTTAAAAAGAGTGAACTTTAGGCCTCATTTTCTAATAGCCCACCTCAGCTGCTGGGGGTTCTCATGGACACCAACCACCCAGTAGTGGTCAGACTTCCCCTTGCAGTGCTCTCTTGTGTCACACACAGGAGTCCATGTATTACCAAGTCCTCTGTTAAGCATTCGAACAATGCCCTCTGAATCCACGTAACAGGGGGTACCTATACACCAAGACAAAAAGAAATCACTTGGAGACATAGCTACACACTTGCTAAATAAACTCTATTCAAAAATACATACCAATGAATCAACTTTCATTTTAAAAGCAAAAACAAAACAAAAAGGCAAAATCTGAGATTATTTCCTACAAAATGCATTAACTGAATAGAGTAAGACCTAACTGAAGACAAAATAAAACGGCATGTGATATGCCTAAAATTTACCCAAATAAAGAGAAAAAACTGATAGTTTCAGGGAAAACTATGCCACCTGCTGGCATACACTAATAATACTTTTTAAGCCAGTTTCAGTAAAAAAAAAAAATTAAGCTTGAATCTGAAGGCTCCCTAATTGAGAGAGACAGACAAATGAGCAGAACCTGATGCAAATTTGTCTCTGGTACTCTTCTTCCTCTCTCTCTGTCTTGGCCTAGACACTGTCCTGTCCCCAGCAATTCTTTCCTAGGAAAACAGGTAAGCTTCTGGTTTCCATCTACTCTGCCCTCATCTCAGGAAGCACAGCAAATTACCTAACTACCCCTTCTTTTATCTGTGGCTTCACACCCTTGCCACTCTGCAAACAACAGTCTCCTCAGAGTCCGGGTCTGATAAATGCTTGGGGGAAAGGAAAACTGTAAGAAAAAGCTATAAGAATGGTCAGTTACTAAAGTGTAAATGACTGATAATATCCTAATGAAAAACATGTCTAGAAATATTTGAATTTTTTTTTTTTTACAGACAAATGAGTTTCCAGTAATGTAACTGAAGGGCACAAATCTCCAATAATAGAAATATTTAAGTTCTTGAGACAGGATTAACAGGCCCGTAAGATAAGGTACTCTTCAACGTGTCCTGCAAATTATCTGTCATAAACCAAAAAAAAAACCCACTGCTGTAGAGTTGATTTTGATTCATAGAGACCCTACAAGACAGAGTAGAACTGCCCCATAGGGTTTCCAAGGCTGTGATCTTTATGGAAGCAGACTGCCACATCTTTCTTCCGCAGAGCAACTGGTGAGTTCAAACTGCCGACCTTTGGGTTAGCACCAAAGAACTTTAACTACTGCACCACCAGGGCGCCTCTCATCTGTCATAAGCCACTATTACATGATTCTACAACAGCACTTCTCAACAGAAACATCATGTAAGCCACAAATATGATTTTTAATTTTCTAGAGTCACAATGGAGCCCTGGTAGCACAGTAGTTAAGAGCTCGGCTGCTAACCAAAAGGTCAGCAGTTTGAATCCACCAGATGCTCCTTGGAAACCCTATGGAGCAGTTCGGCTCTGTCCTATAGGGTCGCTATGAGTAGGAATCAAGTGGACAGCAGTGAGTTTGGTTTTGGTGAGAAAGCCACAATAGGAGTCCCTAGGTGACACAAATGGCTACGTGCTGGACTACTAACCAAAAGCTGGGCAGTTTGAACCCACCTAGAGGCACCACAGAAATAAGGCCTGATGATCTGCTTCTGAAAGGTCACAGCCTTGAAAACCCTATGGAGTGCAGTTCTATTCTGCATACTTGGGTTTGCCATGAGTCAGAACTGACTCAACAGCAACTAACAACAAGAGTTACATTAAAAAAAAAATCAAAATAAGGTGAAACTAATTTTAGTAACATATTTAACACAACATATCCAAATTATTAACATTTTAACATGCAATCAACATAAAAGAAATATTAATGAGATATTTTACATGCTTTTTTAATACTAAGTCTTCAAAATTCAGAGTGTATTTTACACTTACAGCACATCTCATTTCCGATTAGCCAGATTTCAAGTGCACAATAGCCACATGTGGCCAGCGGCTAACATAGTGGACAGTGCAGCTCTAGAAAATTCCTGATTTCTCTGTAGAATCTGCTGGAAGAGCCAGACTTTACTATTGATTTGTATTTCCTCCTTGCCATCTAATGAACACTTTAAGAAAAGTTTACTTCCCTCTTTGTAAGTTTTCTAATTAGAATTCTCAAGAGCCCTCATACATAAGACAATGGCTACCTTGCCTAACAATGCCAGTTTCCAGTTTTTCCAGTATATTAAAGAAATTTAAACATAAAATATAGACAATTTATCTTTAAAGAAATTAATTAGGAATAAAACAGTGAAACATTTTTCTTCTTGGAAAAAAGTCTTAAGTATAAAGTAAGAAATTTATCTTGCCTTCAGCTGAAAATCCAACCCATGTAAGGTACGATTTCCTTGTAAGAGGAAGAGGGTCACCACAAGGAATTTGTTTTTTCTTTCTCCCCAGCTCTAGCAGTTGAACTCCAAGGCACTGATCCCCATCAAATCCTGTACCTGGTGAGAAAATGTAGATATAAATCAGACATCAAAGATTACTCAGCTATAATGCAGTCTAAGTTATTTTCTGTGAATTGAACTCATTTTGTGATAAATTCTAGATTAAATAGCACAATTTTTTATGGATAACCCACCTAAAGTGAGGCACCATTCAGGTGTTAGAAACACAGTAATATGTTACATGGACTATTCATATAAAGTGGTTATTCATTCACTCAAGAAATATTTACAGAGAGCTTACTATATGACAGGCACTGTCTTAGGCATTGGGGAAAAAAACGGTAAATAAGACAAAGTCATTGTTCTCATGCAATTTATATGCAGATGAAACAACAGAGACAAACACACACACACACACACACAAGTGCTAAGTGTTAAAATGGAGCCCTGGTGGTGCAGTGGTTAAGAACTTGGCTGCTAACCAAAAGGTCAGCAGTTTGAATCTACCAGCTGCTCCTTGGAAACCCTATGGGGCAGTTCTACTCTGCCCTATAGGGTTGCTGAGTCAGAATTGGCTCAACAGCACCAGGTAAGCGTTAAAATAATGTGATATAGACTGCCAGACTGAGTGGCTACTTTAGATTGGATAGTCAGGGGCGGCCTCTTTGAGACAGGGAAATTTGAACTGAGATATGAATTACAAGTTGGACCCAGCCACAAACACTGGAGGAAGAGCACTATAGTAGACAGAGGAACAGCTGATGAAAAGGTCTTAAGGCAGGAACAAGCTTGGAGGACTAAAAGAACAGAAAGAAGTCAGTCTGGCCAGAACATGGTAACAAAGAGAAAGTGGTAAGAATGAGGTTGAAGAGGCAGACAAAGGTCAGATCCTGTAGGACCATGCTAGCCATAATAAGAAACTTGATTTTTATTATAAAGCAATGAGAAGTCATCAGAATCATATGAAGAGAAACGTGATCTGACTTATGTTTTTAAAAGATCACCCAGGCTGTGCGGAGAATGGATTGTGGAAGGCAAAAAAACTGAAGCTGAAAGACTAGTTAAGAAGCTATTACCAATGTCTAAGAGATTATAACAGAGTTGGATTCGGTGTTAGTGGAGGAGATACAACTGGACTGACAGTACGCTATTCACTGAGATGGAGAGAGTAATAAGAAGCAAGTTTGGAAGAAAGAAAAAAAAAATCAAAATTTTTATTGTGACCAAGTGGGCAGCTGGATGTCTAAGTCTAAAGATACAGGGAGAAGTCAGGGCTGGTGATATTTAAAGCCATGGGCCTTGATGAGATTCCCAGGGTAGTCTTTCTAACTTTCTTGACCTATGAGTCATAAAATCAATTTAGAGATGCAACTAGCATTTTAAGAAAAATGAAATCAAAGAGTAAATATCATCCATGAGACTTTTATTCCAGTTACATTTGCAGGTGTGTACTGAATCGCAATGTAAAACGTATTTCTTGCTGTGGCTAGCAGCCAGAAAGACTGAAAGTCCCTGACCTAGAGAGAATAATAAAGAAGAGGGGGCCCTCCATCTAAGAGGTAGCCATAAGAGGAGCCAGCAAAAGGGCTGAAGGAGTACCAGTGAGGAAAAAAAATCAGGAGAGTAATATTACAGAAGACAAGAGATTAAAGAATTTGCAAAGGATTAAACAGATAAGCATAAAGAGATCACTGGCAACCCTGATGAGACCAGTCTTAGCACAGTGGTGGGGACTGAAGATAGCACATGAGGTGAAGAAAAGGAGGCAGCAACTTTTTAAAAAAGGCACGTTCGAAGTACTTTTGGTTTTTCACACTAGGAGTTAGTTTATTTTTGAGGTGTTTCAACTTTGAATGTTCTTTAGTGTGCTCACCAAAAGGTAAGATATAGACATGGACGTAACTAACCAAACTCTACCTTGGAGTTCTCTAATACAGTTCTACAAAGAAAACGTTTTCTTTTCATTGCTATTAACACAACCCCAAATTCTATATATCAAAGATTACCCTGATGCAAATGCTAAAATAAATGCAAAAGGAAGTATATAACAATATAAAAAAAAGAATACATATTTTTAAAAAGCTCAAGTCATTTCCACTTTATTTCTGGTAATGACAAAATTACAAAGATAAAAGATGGAGAATAATCTACCTCTGTGGTAAACAATGAAAAGTTGTTCTCCATCTCCTGCCATTGACACCACAGGCCCAGGAAGGCTGAAGACCTCTTTTTGAACACCTCCAATAGTGAACAGTCGGAGGAGCAAGGCCCCAGTGGCGGCAGCAGCCCATCCCTGACCAAGACATATGGCTTCGATATCCTCGTTCTGAGGCATATCTACTATCCACTCTTTGCTTGAGTCCCAAGAACTGAAATGCAGGCAGTGAAGCTTGCTAAAAATTAAGACAAGACAGAAACAATCAAATTTTCATATTTTATATTTATATACATACATATATCACTAATCGTGATACCCTGTAACAAAACAAATTGTTTCTTTTTCTATTAGAAACTAATTGTACAAGAAATGGCTTTAAAAAATAATTATGAATTATCCTTAAAATGAACTATACTAAAAGCATTAGCAATCATGTTTTTGAAGAATATTTAATGATATAGGAAAAGGCTCACATGATAATGTTAAATGAAATAAGGAAGGCTAAAAAACTATATGCAGACTGTGATCCTATGTAGTAAATGCCTGCAAAATCACAACCAAATTTTAGGAAAGGAAGGAAACATCAAAATGTTAAGCAAGTTCTCTCATTGCAAAAAATGTTAATATGGAAGAACAAAAAGGAGGGGGGAATCATACATAATTCTACTAGTGAGATTACCAACAATGTTAACATCTTGATATGTTTCCAGTCTTTTCCCTTTGCATGTATATCCATACATGTAAGTTATTAAACATAAATTCCTTAATCTTTGAGTGCAGATATCATAAGCATTTGGAATCAGACAGTACTAACTTTCTGAACAGTAATTTTAATATTCAATTTTAAAATGAAAAGGAAACATACAGCTGTGAAATGATATATCTATGGAAAACAAAAAACATCTAAAATCAAAACTGTACATGAAAATAAATGTTCTAATTGTGTAAGAGACACTGAGTCAATATTTATTTATTTTAATAAACTGACTTACTAATGAAGTATTGAGTTTACAATTTGTAAAGGAGGGAATCAATTAAAATGTTAAAATGACTTCAATAAAGTGTTTCTCAGACTTTAATGTGTACTCGGTCACCTGGGAATCCTGTTAAAATGCAGACTCTGATTCAGCAGGGCCGAGGTGGGCGAAGATTCTGCATTTCTAACAAGCTCCCAGGTGACCCATGCTCCTAGTTTGTGGACCACATTTAGGAATAGCAAGAAGCTAATATATCCAATCAGAAGGATTTTAACTTCAAATCCATGATCACGTGTACCAGTACTACGATCAGCTAAAGAGATCAAGAGGGTGTCCTGGCTGGAATAGCAAAAAGCTGACTAAAATATTTTCTTCTCTCTTTAAAAAAAATTTGGATTCTGCATCCATTGCTTTCCAACATAATTTTGTCTCTAAACCTATCTATCTGCCTCTCTATCAATAAAAACAATTAAAGAAGCCCAAAATATATTAAGCAAAGAAAGTAAATTGATGAACAGTAAAGACTGTTATGAGAAAGACTGATAACATTTTTGGGTATGTTTTTCTTGTTTCCTAAAGAGGTTTCAAATCTAACCTATAGTAACAGAAAACAGGTCAGCAGTTGCCCAGAACTGGGGATGGATTAACTGCAAAGGGATAGTTTTCATTTACAATGAATGTATATTACTCATATAATAGTAGTAAAAAACCAAAACAAAGCAAAAAATAGTCCAATCTCTTGCATTACAAATCATATCATTTTGATATGCAGTTAGAGAACAGCACAAGGGGACAGACAATTGGGGCAAAAACAGACATTTGCATTCTGAGGTATTATGGGTGTGCTGGTATTTGTACTACACTCTTCTTTCTGAAACTTCATTCTGCAAAAGATATCATTTTGTTTTGTTAACTTTTTGTCTTTAATTTCAGTAGTTGTATCTAACAGCTCACCAGTGCCAGATTCTTTCTAATTGCCTTGAATTTACCTTGCTAGTTCATCAGTGCTTTCACATGCCAACAAAATAGCTTCATGGGAAAGATCTGCTACTGTATAATTCAAAGTGTTTGACAAGTGTGTTGCATGGTGTATGGAGGTATCGTGGAATTCTACATCTATGGCATTGTCTTGCTCATCATTATAGCAGCGAATAATTCCAACAGAGTTCCACACCTACAAACATGTAAGATTAAATACAAGTCAGAGAAAAATTGAAGCTCCTAGAATCAGTAGACTAAACTAGCGCAAACTAACAAATATTATAATTCAATGTTTAAGTTATGGGAGCAACCAGAGTTCATCTAACTCTAAACAGTTGTAGATAACAGCAGTAACATCAGAGCTACAATAATAATTTTTTCATAAGAAAAAGGAACATATACTTATTTATCAGCAAATAGAGTATTTCATTTAATTTTTTCAAATGAATTACACAACCGTCATAAAGAAAATACTTTACAAGTGGCCTTTGAACAACTGAACCATTAAATTCTTGAAATGAAACATTTCAAAAACGTAGTTTAATTACAAATATGGATGCAAAAGACACCAGATTTTTTTGTCCCAATTAACTGGTTTATATTATAGGAATAAATATATACATTTTAAGACAACATACATTGATAGCATTTAGAAAACTTATCTTACACTAATGTTTATTATAGGCCAACGTGATAGCTCTAGTGTTTCCTTTACCACAAATACAATTATAAATAAAATAGATGACACTAATAAAAAATTTAAAATCTATGATGCACTTGATGCATGATGGTGATGACCGATGGCAATAAAATATTTTATTAAAAATAAAACATCATCCTTAACATTTAGGCACAAATTCACGCCACTCCCATGCCTTTCAAAAAGGCCAACAAAGCCCTCATCATGGAAAACCTCAAATAACTAGCAAATAGAAATAGTAAACTTTTTTATGTTCTCAAACTCAAGGCAAAAGAATGGGATGTGGGGAAAGGGTAATTTTGTTTTGTTTGGTTTTTTAACAGCACATATCTTCTAAAATTGTATACTAGGAGCTGCCTTCTAAAAAAAACAACTTCTAACTAGTGTTTAAGAATTAGCATAATCTATATCTAGACTAGTATAATAATAGGAGAAAACAAGGTTCAGAAGTATCACCAAAAGATATTTCAAGATACAGCCATGTTTAATTATATTCACTATATGTCATTTTTGCAAAGCAAACTTTTATTTAATGTAATTTTCAATAATAAAGTTGAAGTAAGATTGAAACTTCGAGTTAACCATAAAATAATCCAACCACAAAATTGTAATCAACCAAAATGCTCCAGGCCAGTTAATCAAGATTTAAAAAAATATTTTTTATCAAGCAAAAATAACTATAGTGAAAAACTATTTAAAAGTAAACATAGATCCAAGGCTTACCATGAATCTGTGAGTGAGATGCAAGGGTGTAGAGCCTGATTGGAATGGTTTTTGCCGGGGAGTTGGCATAGGCCCATCATAAAATGGCCTTTGGGATGTTACAAGTGGTAGATTGTTGATGTTGTCTGCCTGATCATCTTCTTCATCCTCTTTGAGAAGACTAGAACCATTTTTTAGCAATGTAATATCTAAAATACCAAGGGTTATAATTAGAGAATCGTAAGTACCAGTGGCCTGAAGAAGCAAAAGCATTATGGAATCTAATACCCTTTTCCATTCATGCTTAATAATACTAATGTGCTATTTGCCTCTTTCACTTTGTTAACATTTGCACTGATGGTACAAAAGTAATAGTGGGTAAAACTGCTGGCATCTTAGCATGAATCAATGCCGTGACACCAAATTGTATTTGCCATCACTGCATTGTAACCACCCAGCACTCATGTAGAGGGAAAAATATTAGTTGTATTAAATCTTGATCTTCATATACATTTTAAAAATATTCCATGCGCCAAAATGGAAAATGTACAAAAAGTTCTTCTGATACAAACTGAAGTAGATGGTAGTCTCAGGAAAAAAAGCACTTACACAATTAGGCTGAACTAGTGGCTTTTTTCATGGAACACTATTTGGCAAACATTTTCTTGAAAATGAACAAAGTAAGCCCGTTACTCAAGGAAAGTAACTGGCAGTACTTGTTGCCAATGACAAAATCCAAGCTTTCAAGCAAATATTTGAATACTGGAAAACTTCTACCTGCCACCATGTGCTTGACAGCTTCCCGATACTTAAAAACTTCTGATGAGATCAGTGATGTTACTAATAATTTTTTTATATTGAATAATGAAATATGTCAATATTCAGAAGGTCTACAAACCTCAGTGAACCAATTTTTTTCCAAATTATCAGTGAATATGTTACAAAATCACACGTGGGCAAAAGAGCCATTCAGAGCACAAGATAGACCAATAGATTTTAATGTCATAGGCCTGAAAAAGTTCACTGCAAAGGTTTCAGATTCCACAGTAAAAGTAATCTTTAAGAAATTATCACTTTTGTCAAGTTTTGGTACAATATCAAAGAAGACTGTCCACATTTATTTGAACAGGATATTAAAATACTTCTCCCTTTTCAAGATACATATCTGTTTAAGGCCAAATTTTCTTCATATACTTCAAGCAAAAACAATATATGGCAGCAGACTGAATCCAGAAGCGACAAGAGAATCCAGCTCTCTTCTATTAAACCAGACATTAAAGAGACTTGCAAAAAGATAAAACAATGCCACTCTTCTTAAACTATATTCTTTGTTTTGGTAAATATAGCTATTTTTCATAAAAAGTATTTACGTTCACATATGTGTTTATTAATGTTATTTTTAAGTGAATAAATATTTTGAAAATCTCTTTTAGTTTCTAATATGGTAAATAACAATAGATATAATTCCATAAAAAAATGCTCTTTGGAGTAGTCAATAATTAAGAGGGTAAAGGGGTCCTGAGACCAAAATGTTTGAAAACTATTGTTCTATAAACCCTGTATGATTTAAACATAGTGCAATTTACCACTGTACATTGGCATTTCACCTGGTATATTCAAAAGTGTTAGTTTAGCGTGTAAATTATTGCAATAGGCACTTCATTAGTAGGCTTTTAACTATAAATTAAATTTCTTTAAAACATATAGTACTGTTCAGGTTATCTATTTATTCTTGCGTTAACTTTGGCAGTTTGTGTTTTTCAAGGAATTTGTCCACTTCATCTAAGTTATTGAATTTATGGGCACAAAGTTGTTCATAATATTCTCTTACTACCTTTTAGTATCAACAATAGTGATGTCTTACAGAAATATGCGTTACATATGTAATTTTAAATTTTCTAGTAGCCATACTAAAAAAAGTAAATAGATGAAATTTTAATAATTTTCTGTATTTAATATATCTCCTAACACATACAGTATTTGCGTGAATTAGTACTAAATGTGCACTTAAGAATTTAACTTCAGTACTGTGTCCAAGAGCACTGGTGGCACAGTGCTTAAGAGCTCAGGCTGCTAACCAAAAGGCTGGCAGTTTGAATCCACCAGCCACTCCTTGGAAACCCTATGGGGCAGTTCTACTCTGTCCTATAGGGTTGCTGAAAGTCGGAATCAACTCAACTGCAAGGAGTTTTTTTTGTTATCTAAGATATCATCATTTCAATGTGTACTTAATATAATAGCTGCCATACTGGATAGCACATGTCTGTAGGATCTATAGTGATGACCCCTCTTTCATTTCCTTAATAATTGGTATCTTCTCTTTCTTTCTTACTCAGTCAGGCTATAAAGTTATCAATTTTATTAATCTTTTCAAAGAACCAGCTTCTGACTTTACTGATTTTCTTATATATTTTCTGTTGCCAGTGTCATTGAATTTTGCTCTTGTTTCCTTTCTTCTGCTTGTTTGGAGTTTAATTTCCTTTTCTTTCTCTAGTTAATTAAGGTAGTAGCATAAATCGTTCAGAGCTCTGGTGGTGCAATGGTTAAGTGTTCGGCTGCTAACCAAAAGGTTGGCAGGTCGAATCCACCAGCTGCTCCTTGGAAACTCTATGGGGCAGTTCTACTCTGTCCTATAGGGTTGCTATGAGTCGAAATCAACTCGAGAGCAACAGGTTTGGGGTTTTTTTTGTATTTTGTAGATCATTTATTTGAGATCTTTTTTAATATAAGCATTTAATGCTATAAATTTCCCTCCAAGCACTGCTTTAGCTGCAGTCCACAAATTCAATAACTTTAACAAAAAATTAAAAATATTAAACAACAGAGTAGATCAGTACATGCATAAAGTCATATTCATACCAACGGAGTTTTCATCGTCTTCTAGGATGTGACTTCTCTGTCTAGGACGACTTGAAGTCAGCATGAGGTCATCATCATCCTCACCATCATTTATAATCCCTTTTGAAAAAGAGGGGGTCTTGGATGCATTGTCATTTAGAAAATCACCAGCATTGCTTGCATCATCTCCATCAAAAAGGTCATTGTAATCCTTTTCTACTCTGCTAGATACCTTGAACAAATTAATAAAAATTAGAAAGTATTAGTAAATTATTTGGATAAATTCATTTACTCAAAAGGCAATCCTTTAATACGTACCAATAAACTCTACCACGAAAATGCCCTAATATGTAAGAATTAGTAATTGTATTTATTAGAATTGTATTTATATTTATGTAAGTCCTTACTTTAAATGGCTTATAGTCTGAGAATGGGGCAGGAGTGTGGAGACAGACATGTACACAAATACTATATATGCACAAATATAAGGCAAGGTTTTATTCCTCAAAAATTATTCCCCAGATTCTCAACAACAAAATAAATTTTAAAAAATTCCCCAGAAAAGAAGTTACCTTATTTTAACACGATTAAGTCCCTACAAAGTCTGTCATATTATGAAACACTCTATCATTTACCTTTATTTTGGACAATATATTACTTAGGTAGGATACATCCACTTTAAATGACTTCAGTTAAAGCTAGTTTTTTGGATGCTTATACAGTGAAACAGCAGAAAAACAAAGGAAGCTAAAACAATTTAACAAAGACTTAATCATTAATTTCTAGGAATAAGAGCATAGCATTGCAAGTGCTGGATGTCACTGTAAACAAACTTCTGAAATCACTCTAAAAAGTGACATAGTAAGGAGACGCATTGTAGGGATCACAAGCCCAAGCCCACTGCTGTCAAGTCAATTCCAACTCACAGTGACCCTATACGCCTAGTATAACTGCCCCAGAGGGTTTCCAAGGGGCAGCTGCTGGATTCAAACTGCTGACTTTTTGGTTAGAAGCCAAGCTCTTAACCACTGCGCCACGAGGCCACAAGTTACTCCTATAGGATGAATGACAACTACAACTGTTAAGCCAATAGAAACATAGTTTGGTATAAAATTCTAGTAAGAGCAGCATTCAAAGATTCCAAAAGGATTATACCTCAAACCTTTTAGGTGGAAGTAAATATGAGTGTGCTCTATAAAACTGATGTTAAATAAAATGAGACAGAAAAAAGTATTTCTAAATTCACATATGTAAACATATTTGATATATGAGCAATAAAATTAATAATGGTATAAGAAGATATCTGAGTTTCATCTATAGCCCTAAAAGTTTATATACTTAAGCTGGCCAAAAACTGGTTTTGGGTTTTCTATTGGAAGATGGGGGGTGTGCCTTATATTTATGGTGAGGACCATAAAGTGTTACAGGTGTTATGACAGATGTATTTTGTGAAGAATAAAAGCAGAAAAGGATAGAGTGGCCAATTCTGGATACCAAAACCAAAAACCAAATAAATCATTGCCATCAAGTCAATTCTGACTCATAGAAACCCTACAGGATAGAGTAGAACTGCCCTGTAGGGTTTCCAAGGAGTGGCTGGTGGATTCAAACTGCTAACCTTTAGTTCGCAGCTAAGCTCTTAACCATTGCACCACCAGGGCTCCAATTCTGGATAGAAGGGTTCAAAAAGGTTTCATAAGAAGTGACCTTTGAACTAAAATTTTTTTCTCTTAATTTACTTTTTGTTTTTATCGATGTTATGCATGCCTATAAATTAGTCAAACAGTTTTACACGGCTTATTATGAAAATTAGAAGTCCTCTGCACAGCCCCCAACTTAATTTCCTGCAGAGGAAATCCTTAAGCTCCTTTGTTTCTTTTGATACTTTGCTCAATTTTTGTAAATGATATTCTACTGCTTTTTTGACTTTTCAGTTTTAAGCATTATCTATTTAACAGATCGTATACTTCCCTCTATAGGATCGCTATGAGTCAGAACCAACTTGATAGCACCCAACAACAATAACAACGTGGGAGATGAGGATTTGGCACCCTTTTACAATCACCCCTACTCCCATGTATACATGCCATTCTCTCCCACTTCGCTCAACATAGATATATTCCCATTTTGGTTGGATTAGTATTCAGTGTTTAGATTATTATCACGTAAATGCTACTTGTGCTTGAATAAGAAAAGTCCTAGCTAACACAAAGAGTTTACTATGTGCTAGGCACTGTTCTAACTCTTTACATGTGCTAATTCATTTAATCTTCACAATAACTCTAAGTGGCAAGTACTATTACTATCCTTGTTTTACAATGTAGTATATTATGATCACTCTTCTTTTCTTTTACAACTTTTATTTTTCCTGGAGTTAAGAATCTTCTCTCTCTTTAGGTCTTTTCTCTTGAGAAGAGTCCCCAAAGACGGTTCTTCCAATCTGCTGCCTGAAAAGTTTAAGGCTGGCTGACAGTGTTCCAGGAGCCAAGAAGAAGTGAGCTGGGAATTTCAATATTTCAAATAGTTTCATTTAATCCTCTGTTTCCAAGACAGTATACCCCCTTCACCTAAGACCAAACACTGTTTTGGTTTTACCTTTTCCATAGATTAATCTCCATTCCTCTACCAGAATGTATGTGGGGGTGGGAGGGCTTGTACACTGTTGTTGGAATTGAAGGGATCTACTTGCTTATTAAATCTATCCTCCTGTTTTCAGTCCCACTTTTAGTTAGAAGTACCTGGTGCTACCAAATTCTGAATCTTTGGGGATTCAGCCAGGCCACTAAGGTGTATCTCAGCTTTCCCCACTGTGATCTTAAGATTCGACTTTTCTGAGATGCTAAAAGTTAGCTTCCAATCATCTTTTTACCTTCCAGCCTCCAAAGTTTAGCTTCCAATCATCTTTTTACCTTCCAGCCTCCAAAGTTCTGTTACTATCATCGATTCAACTTGTCTTCTTTATCCTTAAGGGATTATGCATATTAAAAATTCCTCCAATACAGTTTTAGTGAAAGGTTTCAGGAGGAGCAGAGGTAGATGAATATATTAAATCTACAATCTTTAACTGGAAGTCTAAATTAAGACATGCAGTATGAATAGGTATACTTGCCAGGAAGAGGGAATAATTAACAAAAGCAAGGAAGTATAAAATAACCTGGCCTGCATTAAGTAGTTCAGTAAAGCTAGATAACTAAGCATAGGTGGCATACAGGTAGCCCTAAGATTTAAGGCTAATCTGGAGCAGAAAAAATTTATAGGCCAAACTGAGGCCTATTACAGATATTAACGCCAATATTTAGCTATAAAACATTTACCTAACAATCCCCAGAGTATCAGGATCTCAAATAGTATTTCACAAAGTGTATTCCTTGGAAATTCAAGAGATATTAATAAGCAGTAAATGCAAGGGGAAAAGTCCCTTAGTCAAATACTGTTGGAAAACATTATGTTTAAACAGTTTTCTCTGAGCATCTAATACAATGACATGAATTGCAATTTTCCAAGAACAGAATGCAGTTTGTGGTGTTTTCTAAATCCACTGACCACAGAGAGTCTTTTAAGAAACTCTGTTCTATTGTGTTACTTTTTACCTTACTGCTTGACTTCTTTCCACTGGGGTCACAAACATTCTCCAGGAGCCCTAGGTTTCCTTCTGCATCAGTATAAGCTATTTGGCCACAAGTAGGATGCCAGGCCAGGCCACAAATTGCATAACCTTTCTCATGTTTCACCCTAAAAATTAAAAAGTGGGTTCTCAAAACACTGCCAAGAAAAGTATAAACTATACATTTCTTTAGGTAAATTTTAACTAGAAAAGATTAAATAGCTTTTGACAACTAATAGCTGTATATTTGCATTTTGACAATCTAACAATTGTAAATTTGAAATGCTTCATAATAATGCAAACAAAAAACTAATAGAAATAAGCAGTAAAGAGACAAACGATACACTGAATCATACCTTTCCAGGCAATCTCTGGTTTCCACATTCCAAACTATAATCAAGCCATTAATACTCCCTGCAGCTAAATACTGCCCACAGGGAGACCAGGTTACTATATTGAGGGTCTATAAAGAAAAACAGGTAATAAATAATAATTTTATATTAATTTGAAACTAAACACTCATTTTATTTCCAAATTAATTAACTAGAAGTTATATAGAATAAGGTAAGTTCTATATCCGTCATTCTATATAACTTTCTAATTAGATCTGATATACAAACAGCAGGACAAAGTTTGCTTGTTTTTTAACTTTCTTTTTCAACAATACTCTATTGTCACTAGCAGATTACTGTGTTTACCATGAAAAAATTATACTGGCACAATTTTAAAAGCAAAATGGAAAAATGTCATGATCCTGAAAAAGGAATTAAAAGAAGACAACACACGGTAACCTCTTAGCAACTGCCATCAAGATGAAGAGAACTAGTAAGTGAAGAGAACCTTGGTAAGCCACTGCTGACCTACTGGGCCTAAGTTTCCTTATGTGTAAAATGTATGTGTGTGTAAGAGAGAGAGAATGAATGATAATAGATAAACAACCTTTTCTTCTCCTCTAAAATTCCAGAGTCTATATGATCACAAGTCTCAGTGAAACTCATTTAACAATAAAGGTTAATTACTGACAATGTGACAATAACTTGTTCTAATTTGAAAGCTCACAAAGGAGAGATGTCAGGTAGAATCTATGTACTGTCCAGGTACTGGCCAACTAGGAAAGGCTGAGGGGGTTGAAGGCGGACACATGCCCAACAGTCTGGAGTCGCTGTCCAATTCCAATGACATTTAACTGCAACTATATGTAGGCAAAGTATGCATTAAAAATTCCCTTTAGCCTACTGAAAGTGTCATTTACAAAACTTACCTGAGAGATGAAATTATCTGAAAGATCAAACTGATTACTCCAAGTTTCTCTTCTATAGAGCTTAACAGATTTTTCCACAGGAATTGCCAGTAACTTTTAAGAAAAACAAATAATTTAAACAAAAGTTTACATTAAATTCAATCTAAAGAGGAAAAAAGCAGAAAATTAACCCAGGTAAGCTTAAAGACATAAAGACAAATCTGTCACTTAACTGACAAATAACAACAACAAAAATATTACTTCAAATTTTGATAAGCAAAGAATTAGTGATGAATATTGCTCACATCAAAAAAAAAAAGAGGAGTATTCGTTGTTACTAGTATTTTATAAAGGAGCCCTGGTGACACAGCAGTTAAGCGCTTGGCTGCTAACCAAAAAGGAGGAAAATACGGCAGTCTGCTTCCATAAAGATTACAGCCTTGGAAATCCTATGGGGCAGTTCTATACTGTTCTGTAGGGTCACTATGACTCAGAATCGACTCGACGGCAATAGGTTTGCTTTGGGTTTTTTTAATATTCTATAATACTACTTCTTAAGGAATCTAGGTCCTTTGGATCTAAAACAATTCATCTCATTTTCTAGAAGGAAACAGATCCAAGATCCTTTGAACAGCTTGAAAAAAAGGAAATTTATCTTCTTACACTTTTTCAAAGAAAAAGACTAGTAGAAAAAATAAAAACTGTATTCTTTCCACATTTATCAAAAAAAAAAAAAAGAAACAAAATGTGAACAGTAAAACAATGTTAACTTTATTAATTTTTAGATTAATCAGAGAAAACTGTTACATAAGCAAAGAAAAAATACCTACTGGATTTCCTTGAGCTCAATTACCAGTTTAATTTAGAATGTACACTCTTAAAAGTTCACATGACACAAAAGGGTAATATATTGAAAAGAAAATCTTGATTCATCCCGAAATCCTACTTCTACTCCCTAAAGGCAAATATAAGCACGAAATATACAAATATACATACATACATAAGTACATACACACACTCCCATTTTTTTAAACACAAACAGTAGTATTCTATCTATACCCACTCTTCTACACCTTGATGTTTACTTAACAATTTATCCTGAACATTATTCCATATGAGGACATAAAGATTATACCTTACTCTTACTAACAGTTGCCTAGTATTCCACTTAACCAGTCTTCTACTAACATTTAGGATGGTTCCAATCCTTTGCTACTACAAACAATGGTGTAGCATTTTCAATATATATACTCCGTACTGCACGTGTGTGAGTATGCTGATGGATAAATGCCTAGTAGTATTACTGCAGGTCACTGATTCTGATAAAAACTGCCACCCCTTTTTCTACATGGTATATAACCAAACTTTTTATTTTTGCCCATCTGGTAACTAAAAAACAGGATACTGCTACAGTTTCAATTTGTATTTTTTAAGTATGAAAAGCTGAATGTATTTTCATACGTTTAAAAGTCATCTTATTCTGTACACTGTCTGCTTATGTCTTTTTGCCCATCTTTCTATTGGGTTCTTTCTGATTTGTAAGATTTGTTGATCTCACAGTGAATGGATTACTTTCTTTGTATATTAAGGAAATTTACCCTTTGTCATATTGTTTCAAACTTCCCCCCAGTCTGTCCTTTGATTCTGTAGTATGTTTTCTCATGCAAACATGTTTACTTTTTATATTGTCAAACTTATCAATCTTCTCTTCTGAAAAACTGCACACCTACAGAAAAGTTGAAAGAATATAGTGAATATATAGTAAATACCTATATACCCTTTACCTAGATGTACCATGTGATAGGAAGCCTTTGAGATGGTCCCCAATGTTTCTCACCTCCTGGTAGTCACATCCTTATGCCAATTTATTCTAAATCTTCTTTTCTCCACCTCTACCATATATTAAAATTTCTATATATATTTAGGTCTACTTCTCTGTTTAATAGATATATATATATGTCTACTCCTTCGTCAGTAGCAAACTTTTAATTCTGAAAGCTTTCTAGTGTTTTAATATCTGACTGGATTAGACTCCCATTATCACTTTTGTTTTTCAAGATTTTAGTTTTCCACACAGACCGTGGAATCAGCTTTATTTGGTCCCCTCAAACATCCTATTGCTATATTTCAATGTTGTTAAAACTATAGATTAATTTAGGGAAGAACGGACAGCTTTATTATACCAAAAGTTCTTTCCTAAAAACAAGGTATGTTTTTCTATTTATCCAAGTCTTTTAAGTCCCTTGGTAGCATGGTGAAACTTTTCTTTATACAGATGTTTCACATTTCTTAATAAGTCTATCCTCAGATATTTTATATTTTTTTATTTCACAGTAAATGGATTACTATCCTCTACTGTATTTTCTAAATGGCTATTGTTTGTACATAGAATTGCTATTGGTTTTGTATATTAATTTTGCTTCTAGTCACCTTACTGAATTTTCTTCTTATTGATAATAGCCTTTTTTCCCCAGTTGATTTTCTTGGTGTGTTCATGTATACAGGCATTTTATCTGCAAATAGTAAGCATTCTCCTTCCTCCTTTCAAACTTCTCATTTTTTTCTGTTGTCTAACTATATCAGCCAGTATCTCCAACATGTTAAATTCTAGTCGTGAGAGTGACATAATGAGACTGTTTCCACAGATGTTCCATTAAGCATGAACTTAAAGAAAAATATAAAAATTAGTTCAATCATACAACATATACACTTTCAAAAAAGAATCTTTAAAAAGTTGAAATGTTTCTTAAAGTATTTCAATATTAATCAGTTGGCTTGGGGGCTCTAAAATTTATAATCCAAAAGAAATAGTTATAATTTAATAAACTATTTTTATATTCAAAGCTGACAGGATTGGAACAAAGATAAAGGTTGAAAAATAAGTCACTTACCTTACCACTTTTTGGCTGCCAAGCAAGTCTGCAGATTGATTTTGCATTTATCACATCATTGCATTTTTGTAGCAGTGGCCAGCTAACAGCACATGTCTGATTAAAAAAAAATTTTTAATTCCCCCTTAAGAAAATTCCCCCTAAAATGATATGCAAAACTGACTACATTTAATAGGTGGTTTTCTCAGAAAAAAAAGCAACTTAATTCAGTTTAATGTAATTATGCTAATGCATTGACTGGACGGCAAAGGGTTTGGTTTTCTTTATTTAGATTGCTTTAAGTCCTAAAGACGTATGAAAGGACAAGTCTAAATTAATAAATTAAATATAAGAATATTTCCTGTGTAAAATAGGCAAGCAATATACTCACTGAATAAACTTAAAAAAAAAAACCAAGCAATATATTAAGATCATAAAGTATCTACAAAAATAAATAAAACTTGAAAGCCTCTATATAAAATGGTACGGTGTCAAAATCAATCCTTTTAAACAGTTCAAGAATGAGGGGAAAGGGCTATGGATACTGAGGCATATCTGTGGAGGATATTTTTCTCATAACCACATTGTCTCTAGAAGTGTCAAGCTCTAATTATCTCAGGAAGAATTAACTGTTCCCTCTGCCATTCCAGAGAGCACTTTCTTCATGTCTCTTTTAAAATCTTAATCAGGCTGGGTTAGAACAAGTGGTATATGTGATTCTCAAAATTAAGTGTGGGCAATGTCTTATTTTATTTTTGTTATCTCCAACATCTAACACAAGGTGCAACATATGGTAGATGTTTTATAAATATATATGATGGAATTTTCCCCACTGATTTACAATCTCTAAAAATGAACTATAAATCTATCACTTCCTATGTGATTGAGAACAAAAGCAATTAGTCTTTAACATATTTACTTTTGTATTAGGTTATTGTGGAATTCGATCACAAAAACAGTATTTAATCTACTCAAAGAGACAAACTATAAAGAAAAACAATTATTAATTTGGATCAATAGTACAATATATAACACCCAATAGGAGCCCTGGTGGCACAGTGGTTAAGAGCTCAGCTACTAACCAAAAGATTGGTAATTCAAATCTACCAACCATTCCTTGGAAACCCTATGGGGCAGTTTCCCTCTATCCTATAGGGTTGCTATGAGTTGGAATCAACTCGACAGCAACAGGTTTGGTTTTTTGGTTTTTGAACACCCAACATATGCAGGAAATGGACAAAAAGTTTTAAATTCAAATTGATGCATTTACCTGGTCTGAAATTTGCCACACTCTGACAGATCCATCACAACTGGCTGATGCCTGCAGGGATAAACAATAGATTTCTCTGTAGTTACAGCTACACTTCTATATGGGAGACTGGTTCAACTGAAAAATCAAATAGCCTTTTATCAACTGTATAACATTTTCTGCTAATTCTCTTACAATTTTAAAAATATTCAGGAAGGAAGTAAAAAAGAGAGGGAAACATGATTACCAGAAAGATGTTCTTAGGATCAAAGGAAAGACTTAAAACAGGGGCATCGTGTCCTCGAAACGTTTTCTGTTGGCTGCTATCCATCACCTCCACAACTTTGACTATGAAATCACTATGAATAATAAGAATAATGCACATGAATAAATGCCAATACAAAAGCCTCTCCTAAAAGCTATGACCCAAATATTTCAAGTTCACAAAAGTAAATGCCATAATTTATAGCAATTTGTGAAATTTAGCATCTGAATTTAATGATTTACATTTTAGGTTTACTGCATAAACATGCTGAAAATACAAGTTATGATTCCCCTTATGTTACAATACAAACACTTCCTCTGTAGCTTCCTTAGTTACATCTTAAGCTATTATTTGTTAATCTAATTACACTCACACCATTCTTCAATGTAGAGTGTACTATACCTAATACTCTACCTCAGCAACACAGCCCATTACATTAACTTCTTATGGAAAATAAGCATCAAGGGAAACAGCAACAATCCTGATTACAGTCTAGTTTCTACCTAAAAGAATTTTTCAAATTTTTTTTTATCAATCACCTTTCCCCCAATCTTTTTCAGCATTTACTGAATCAGCTGTTCGAAAAGCAATATATCTTAATTTGTAAAGAAGCAACGTTTGCCCTCAAGGATCTTTACTAGATAAAAGACTTAGAGAGTCCTGAAAATATTAGCCTGAAAACAATAAATGAGTCCATTCTGTTCCAACATTATTTCCTTTTCTGTTGCCCATGAGCCTTACCTGGATCCAGCAGCAATTTTAGAACCATCCCCATTAAAAATCACATGGTTTGCATTTGTGGTAAAGCGAGTCAATATACCATCTGGAACTCCTTCAGGAAACGTGTGGACCTGAATAGTATTGTTAGATACGGCAGTGACCAATTTTCCATTCTAAAAGAAAAATAAAGGTAAGAAACATTGGCAAAATAAATCCAAGTCGATTGGGAGTCTTTCTGTAGTTAAAAATCTTATAAAAAACAAGAAACTATAAATGTAGGTCATGTCAAGAGAAAAATATCACCCACTGTACAATTTCCTGAAATGTACATTAGCAAGAAAAATTTGCTTCCTTTAGAAAACTCAATTACCTCTTCACCAACCAATCTTTTAGTCTCTGAATTTTCCTTTACTTCCAGTGAGAAAAATATTTAAAGAGTATTTTTAAGGATCCCCAAGTGTTATAAAAATGAAGGAGACTACAGAGAGTTTTCCTAGTCTCAGTGAGGAAAGAGCTCATCAGAAAACACGGACACAGTGACTTCACTATAGTGTTACCCTATGTTTCCACAATAAAACCATTATATGCCTTTTTGTAGTAGGACAAAGTCTAAATGGAAAATTCATGGCTCTTTTTAAAAACATTACATAAATAGGAAGTTTTAGGATCTGAAAATAATCAGCAAATATCATTGCTTTTGCAGAGCTTTTATCTAAGAATTATAAAAGGTCAAGAATTTGTTCCTGCATCTTAATTTTATTACTTCTTTAGAAGGGATTAAGTCCCAAGAGACCAAATCATTCTGTCAAGCTCATACAAAACCCCCCAAAAAAATCCATTGCAGTTGAGTTGATTCTGACTCATGGCAACCCCATGTGCTTCAGAGCAGAACTAAGCTCCAGCCATAGGGTTTTTTCGATGGCTGTAATCTATGGAAGTAGATCGCCAGGCCTTTCTTCTGCAGCTATGTCGGATTCAAACTGCCAACCTTTTGGTCAGGGACCTAAGCTCATATAAGCTTGCTAAATCATATGGTTATTTTATTAATTTAGATTAAAAGATAACTGCCAAGAGAAACAAACCACTCATATCTAGTAATAAATATACTCTTTATCCTATTATACTCTTTAATAGGTCTCAGACATATTTGCAAACTCAAGAACCTCAAGCTATCTATAACACCTGCTCCTACTCCAGTGGAAAAAGAACTTGAAGATAACAATGTCACCATATAGATGATTTAAATTCAAACTGTAATATACACTGATTTTCAAATTAAATTACTGGAAAAGTAAGTTAATAGTGTGAAGCTAAGCTAACAATAATTTAATTGTAAAAACAAGAAGATAATTAACAAAAAACTAAAACCAACTCAAGACAAAACTGATGATGCGTATATAGGAATTTTGCAACCCGGTTGTGCCTTATTTGACAGATTTCTTAGAATGCTGACTACGCACCCTCAGCTCTAGTAAAGATTTTTTTTTCAAGGGTCTTTTTTTTTTATTATTATACTTTAGATGAAGGTTTACAGAGCAACCTAGTTTCTCATTAAACAATTAATACACATATTATTTTCTGACACTGGTTGTCAACCCCGACATGTCAATACTCTCCCCTTCTCGACCTTGGGTTCCCCATTACCAGTTTTCCTGTCCCCTCATCCTTGCCCCTGGGCTGGTGTGCCCATTTAGTCTCATTTTGTTTTATGGGCCTGTCTAATCTTTAGCTGAAGGGTGAACCTCAGAAGTGACTTCATTACTGACCTAAAAGGGTATCTGGGGGCCATACTCTCGGAGTTTCTCCAGTCTCTGTCAGGCCAGTAAGTCTGGTCTTTTTTTTTGGAAGCGGGGAGTTACAATTTTGTTCTACATTTTTCTCCAGCTTTGTCCGGGACCCTCTATTGCGATCCCTGTCAGAGCAGTCAGTGGTGGTAGCTGGGTACCATGTAGTTGTGCTGGACTCAGTCTGGTGTAGGCTGTGGTACTTGTGGTCCATTAGTCCTTTGGACTAATCTTTCCCTTTTGTCTTTGGTTTTCTTCATTTTCCCTTGCTCCAAATGGGGTGAGACCAGTGGAGTATCTTAGATAGCCGCTCACAAGCTTTTAAGATACCAGACGCTACTCACCAAAGTAGAATGTAGAAAATTTTCTTTATAAACTATGTTATGCCAGTTGAGCTAGATGCTCCCTAAGACCATGGTCCCCACAGCCCTCAGACTAGCAATTCGGTCTCTCAGTGTAGTAAGGAATTCTGATAGCTCTTTCATAATACACTAAATAGCCCTATATCCAAGTACAATTGCATTCATTCAACTGGGAGAAGTGAATAAAGGGCTTGCTTTGAGAATCACTCCCCTACAAGTCTACTGGGAAACCAAATCACTATCAGTACTAGTAAAATTATAAAAAAGAAACCGGGCTCTGGTCAGGATCTGGTCCAATCACTTTTTCCTCTGGTGGGATGGGGGGATCAACCCGGCAGAGGATGGCTTGAGCTCAGGCCTGTTGTGTTCTTTACTGTCTGTATCACTTGATCTTCCTCTGAGCTTTAGTTTCCCCAAGTATAAAATGGAGATAATGCCACATAACTCCCCAAATCTTTGCAAAAAGCCCTGTTGATGTAGAATACTATGCAAGTGTTAACTATTACTTGCCCAAGCCCTCACTATTACTGGGATTAGCAATATTTTAATTCCTTGCCAAACTTACAGAAAAAAAATCCAATTGTTTAATTTTCATTTCTTTCCTTATTAGCAAGATTTCACTTATATTTAATGTATGTTGGTCATTTATATTTTTTCTTCTGGGAATGTATTTCCCATTGTATATGGCCATTTAAAAAAAGAACATCTAAAGTATCTAAAGACCATCTCATCCTATCTTAATGAGCCTAAGGTTGGGAAAAAATATAAATTCTGTGCGAAGATTTTTTTTCCTATGCAAATACACTCACCTTAAAATTCATCACAAATAAAAAGCTTAGAGGTATTTTTAGATACTTAGTTTGCAAAGTTTTTCAGAAAAGGTATCTTCATTCTCTAAGTAACCTACATGTCATTTCCCATATTTACCTTACACAAAACATTAGAAACAAGTGAAATAGGTAAATATCTTGGAAAAGTTAATGAAACATTCCTCTTTTCCAGAAAGATTCCTTAAGTTATCTGAATTAGTGAGTTAAACATCTGAAAATGTCAGTGTTTTCCTTAAAGAAAAAAAATGAGGGCATCTAAACTTCTTTTTAAAAAGAAAAAGTATATCTTTCTTACATACATTGTAATTGTTTCACCATTAATACCCATTAATCATCATTAATAAACTATTCAGACCTTACCTTTAAAATTCTGGGGCAAGTTACTGGCATTATTGTACATCTTTACATATTATTATTTCGTAAGAGAAACAGGCTGAAAGGTACATCTATATTCAAAAGGTCTATAAAAGTATTTCTCACCCAAGCATAAAAATTACATGCCAGTATCACTTTACATCATCTGCTGTAATTTTTTTTTAATACCTTCAAAGCACACGAATATGCCTTTTCTCCCACATTAATGGACTTAGGATCATCATCATCCAAGTCTTCCCAAATCCTCACATCACCATCACTTCCACAAGTTACAATACAACTGTAAAGGAAACACATACATTAAAAAGTCACCCAGTTTCAGGTCTATTAATTTTTTTTGAATGATCTTTATATATTAATCACTTTTCTAATGAGGTCAAGATACTAGCCAATGTTTTTTCTCATTTTACACACATAAACCTCAATAACAAGAACTGCTAACTTTCTATGCTGTAAAATGAAAGGTGAGTTTAATGCTCTCTATACTTCCTCTTTGGCATAAGAGTCTGTTTACTTGTAATAATATGAGTGTGTAATCTCTGTAAAGCAAGACCATGTCTGCCTTCTTCACCACTGTACTGCTAGCACCAAGCAAAGTTCCTGACACGCAGAAGCCTTGATAAATGTCTGTTGAAGGAATGGATGCATGAGCTCAATTATCAAAAGGTGATTATTCAAATGGCTATCTGTATCTGTCAAATTTTGTTTTAAACCTCTTGTCTTCTGAGTGCTTTTATTCATTCAGTATGTGTCTCACCTAGACACATACCAAATCAAACACCCACTGTCATCAAGTCGATTCCGACTCATAGCGACTCTATAAGAAGGACAGAGTAAAACTGCCCCACAGGATTTCCAAGGAGAGGCTGGTGGATTCAAATTGCTGACCTTTTAATTAGAAGCCAAGCTCTTAACCACTGCGCCACCAGGACTCCGAACCAAACCTGTTGCCGTGGAGTCGATTTTGACTCAAAGTGACCCTACAGAACAGAGTAGAACTGCCCCATAGGGTTCCCAAGGGGCAGCTCATGGATTTGAACTGCCGACCTTTTGATTAGTAGCCAACCTCTTAACCACTGTGCAACCACAGCTCCAAAGAAAAAAATATATTTATATAAAATTTATGTAAATGGTAAAAGAGAAGTCATATGCAAGGATACAGAGAAACTGTAAACCTTATCCATTGCTGGTAGGAATGCAAAATGGTACAGCCACTATGGAAAACAATTTGGCAGTTCCATAAAAAGTTAAACACAGAACTACCATATGATCCAACAATTCCACTCCTAGGTATATACCCAAGAAACCCGAAAGCAACAACATGAACAGACACACGTACACCAATGTTCATTGCAGAACTATTCACAATAGCCAAAAGGTAGAAGCAACCTAAGTGCCCATCAACAGAGGGATGTATGCAAACAAAATGTGGTACATAAATATAATGGAATACTACTCAGCTATAAGAGAAATGAAGTCCTAATCCATGCTACCACACCGGTGAACCTCAAAAACCTTATGCTCACTGAAATAAGTCCATTACAAAAAGACAATTATATGACCTCACTTATATGAAATAAGAATAGGCAAATGTATAGAGATCAAAGTTTATTAGTAGTTAGTAGTGGCGGGAGGGAGGAGGACGGGGAGCTTCTGTTTAATGAGTGTTTGTTTATGGTGATGGGGAATTTGGCAACGATACGGGTGGTGGTTGCACTTGATTAATGTAGCTAATATTACTAAATTGTACACCTGAAAAAATGTTGAAATGACAAATATTGTGCTATACATGTATTTTTACAACAACAACAAAAAAGAGAGGCCATATAAAGAACTGTGCATGTTCAGAAGAAAAAGATTAATTCCACTTGGAAAAATGAGAAAGGTGGTACTTACACTGGCAGGCAAAGGGCAAGCAGGACTAGATATGCTAAGACTGGTGAAAAAGGCAGTTCCAAACAAAGGAAACCATATGAGCCAAATTATAAATTAGAAAAGCATAGGAGAGTTTACCTGAAACAGACAATCCAGGGAATGAGAAGGAAAATGTAGATTGAGGTTATCCTGTGGAGAAGGACTTAATGCCAGAGTAAAGACTTTGGATTCCCTTTTACAGGAAATGGGAGGACCGTAAGTCTCAATTTGCCCAGGACACACCTGGTTTATACATCGGTTGGTTTGGTATTTGTCCTGAATTTTTCACTTTTAAACATATCAGTATTAGTCGCAGTTGCATTAAAATTGGCTGGGGCAGATTTGTTAGATTTCCTCTGCGCACTTCCAGCTTCTGCCATGGTCTTGTTTAGCAGTGTGACACAAGTGAAATCAACATAGTTCTTACTTTAACATATGGTTAAATCTGAAAGATGACCAGTGATAACTCATTTCCATTTTTCCAACCCTTTCTTGATGCACGCTAACTGACACCTCCTTTCAAGTACAATATGAAAGGCATTCAATGATAAAACCAAACTATTTCAGACATGGGCCTATTTGGTGTATCAGCAAGGTGCACCAAGGGAGATGTACAAAATTTCAGGTACCAGTGAAAGTGGAATTAATGAGAAATGTGTACAGAAAATAGAGTTGAGCCACCCTGAGAAGTGCTTTTAGAGAAGTCTGAAGATTCTTGCTACAGTCGTTATGTCATCTACTGTATGGGATAAAACTAACTATACATTAATTTTACTACAAATTAATTTTGGGTATGCTTTTGAAATTTTGCAAAAATTAAAAAACCTTTCAGTAACACTAAGCTAAAAAATATACTTCAAGTATGTACATGTTTATAAAAAATTAAGTACTTTCTGCTTCTCAAGAAGATTGAAGATGAAAACGTAACTTGAACAAAATGTTAGTTGACATTTGCACAAGGGCTATTGTGTTATCAGAAGATACAAAACTCCTAAAGAAGCAACAGCATCTACTTCAAAAGTTAGCAGTTATCTTGAGAAGACTATGCTTGAAGACTCTGCTTCTGCAGGTACAGAAAGTGAGTTTACATATCATCTTGTCAAGTACTTTTCATTAGAATTCAGCACAGTCCAATAGAACTTTCTGTGATGGTGGAGATGGTCTATATCTGGCTATTGAGCAATCAAAATGTGGCTACTGCAATTGAAGAAGTAAATTTTTAATTTAGTTACTTTTAATTAATTTAAATCTAAATAGCCACACCCCCAAGTGTCTGTCAGTTTGTTGTACTGTAGGGGCTTGTGTGTTGCTGTGATAATGGAAGCTATGTCACCGGTATTCAGATACCAGCAGGGTCACTCATGGTAGACAGGTTTCAGCTGAGCTTCCAGACTAAGACAGACTAGGAAAAAGGACCCAGCAGTCTACTTCTGAAAAGAGTTAGCCAGTGAAAACCCTACGAATGGCAGCAGAACATTGCCTGATATAGTGCTGGAAGATGAGCCCACCAGGTTGGAAGACTCTGAAGAGACAACTGGGGAAGAGCTGCCTCCTCAAAGTAGAGTCACCCTTAATGACATGAATGGAGTCAAGCTTTCGGGACCTGCATTTGCTGATATGGCATGACTCAAAATGAGAAGAAACAGCTGCAAACATCCATTAATAATTGGAATGTGGAATGTAAGAAGTATGAATCTAGGAAAATTGGAAATCATCAAAAATGAAATGGAACATATAAACATTGATATCCTAGGCATTAGTGAGCTGAAATGGACTGATATTGGCCATTCTGAATTGGACAACCACATGGTCTACTATGCTGGGAATGACAACTTGAAGAGAAATGGTGTTGCAGTGTTAAAAGGAATATTTCAAGATCTATCCTGAAGTACAACGCTGTCAGTGATAGGATAATGTCCATATGCCTACAAGGAAGACCAGTTAATACAACTATTATTCAAATTTACACACCAACCACTAAGGCCAAAGATGAAGAAACTGAAGATTTTTACCAGCTTCTGCGACCTGAAATTGATCGAACATGCAATCAGGATGCACTGATAATTACTGGTGATTGGAATGCAGAAGTTGGAAACAAAGAAGAAGGACCAGTAGTTGGAAAATAAGGCCTTGGTGACAGAAATGATGCCAGAGATCGCATGATAGAATTTTGCAAGACCAATGTCTTCTTCATTGCAAATCTCTTTTTTCACCAACATAAATAGCGACTATACACATCGACCTTGCCAGATGGGATACACAGGAATCAAATCAACTACATCTGTGGAAAGAGACGATGGGGAAAGCTCAATACCATCAGTCAGAAGGCCAGAAGCTGACTGCGGAACAGACCGTCAATTGCTTACATGCAAGTTCAAGCTGAAACTGAAGAAGATTAGAACAAGCCCACAAGAGCCAAAGTACGACCTTGAGTATATCCCACCTGAATTTAGAGAACATCTCAAGTACAGATTTGACGCACTGAACACTAATGACCGAAGAACAGACAAGTTGTAGGATGACATCAAGGACATCAGACATGAAGAAAGCAAGAGGTCAGTAAAAAGACAGGAAAGAAAGAAAAGACCAAAATGGATATCAGAAGAGACTCTGAAACTTGCTCTTGAATGTCAAGTAGCTAAAGCCAAAGGAAGAAATAGAGTAAAAGAACTGAAGATTTCAAAGGGTGGCTTGAGAAGACAAAGCAAAGTTACTACAATGACATGTGCAAAGAGCTGGAGATAGAAAACCAAAGGGAAGAACACGCTCGGCATTTCTCAAGCTGAAAAAACTGAAGAAAAATTAAAGCCTCGAGTTGCAATAGTGAAGGATTCTATGGGGAAAATATTAAACGACGCACGAAGCATCAAAAGAAGATGGAAGGAATACACAGAGTCACTATACCAAAAGGAATTGGTCGATGTTCAACCATTTCAAGAGGTAGCATATGATCAGGAACCGATGGTACTGAAGGAAGCAGTCCACGCTGCACTGAAAGCATCAGTGAAAAACAAGACTTCAGGAATTGACAGAATATCAATTGAGATGTTTCAACAAACGGATGCAGTGCTGGAAGGGCTCACTTGTCTATGCCAAGAAATTTGGAAGACAGCTACCTGGCCAACCAACTGGAAGAGATCCATATTTATGCCTATTCCCAAGAAAGGTGACCCAATCAAATGAGGAAATTATCGAACAATATCATTAATAATCACATGCTACTAAAATTTTGCTTAAGATCATTCAAAAGCAACTGCAGCAGTATGTCGACAGGGAACTGCCAGAAATTCTGGCTGGATTCAGAAGAGGACATGGAACCAGGGATATCACTGCTGATGTCAGACGGATGCTGGCTGAAAGCAGAGAATACCAGAAAGATGTTTACCTGTGTTTTATTGACTATGCTAAGGCATTTGACTGTATGGATCATGACAAATTATGGATAACATTGCAAAGAATGGGAATTCCAGAACACTTAATTGTGCTCATGAGCAACCTGTACATAGATCAAGAGGAAGTCGTTTGAACAGAACAAGGGGACACTGCGTGGTTTATAGTCAGGAAGGGTGTGCGTCAGGGTTGCATTCTTTCACCATACCTATTCAGTCTGTATGCTGAGCAAATAATCTGAGAAGCTGGACTATATGAAGAAGAAGAAGAATGTGGAAGAAGGATTGGAGGAAGACTCATCAACAACCTGCGTTATGCAGATGACACAGCCTTACTTGCTGAAAGTGAAGAGGACTTGAAGAACTTACTGATGAAGATCAAAGACTACAGCCTTCAGTATAGACTACGCCTCAACAGAAAGAAAATAAAAATCAGAGTCCCTGACAGAGCAGGAGAAAAGTGGGGTACAGAACTCAAATTCTAGTAAAAAGATCAGATTTAATGGTTTGATTGAGGCTGGAGGGACCCCGGAAGACATGGCCCCTGGACTGTTAGCCCAAAACTAAAACCATTCCCCAGGCCAACTCTTCAGACAAAGATTAGACTGGACTATGGGACATAAAATGATACTCGTGAAGAGTGTGCTTCTTAGCTCAAGTAGACAAATAAGACTAAGTGGGCAGCTCCTGTCCAGAGGCGAGACGAGAAGGCAGAGAGGGTCAGGAGCTGGTTGAATGGACCCGGGAACTCCATCCAGAGTGGAAAGGAGGAGTGTGCTGTCACCATGTACGGAAAGCAACTAGGGCCACATAACAATATTTGTATAAATTTTTGTATGAGAAACTAACTTAAATTTTAAAATTTCACTTAAAGTACAGTAAAAAAAAGAAAGAAAACAAAAATCCTCACAACTGGGCCAATAAGCAACATCATGATAAATGGAGAAAAGACTGAAGTTGTGAAGATTTCATTTTACTTGGATCTACAATCAACACCCATGGGAGCAGCAGTCAAGAAATCAAAAGACGCATTGCACTGGGCAAATCTGCTGCAAAAGACCTCTTTAAAATGTTGAAAAGCAAGTCACCTTGAAGACGAAGGTGAGCCTGACCCAAGCCATCGTATTTTCAATCACATCATATGCATGCTAAAGCTGGACAATGAATAAGGAAGACCGAGGAAGAACTGACTTGACGCCTTTGAATTGTGGTGTTGGCCAAGAATATTGAATGTACAATGGACTGCCAAAAGAACAAACAAATTTGTCTTGGAAGAAGTACAACCAGAATGCTCCTTAGAAGCAAGGATGGTGAGACTATGTCTTACATACTTTGGACATGTTGTCAGGGGGGATCAGTCCCTGGAGAAGGACATCGTGCTTGGTAAAGTACAGGGTCAGTGAAAAAGAGGAAGACCCTCAATGAGATGGATTGACACAGTGACTGCAATGAGCTCAAGCATAACAATGATCGTGAGCATGGCACAGGACCGGACAGTGTTTCGTTCTGTGGTGCACAGGGTCACTATGAGTCGGAATTGACTCAATGGCACCTAACGACAACAAAAAGCCACACGTGACTAGTGGCTACTGCATTGGACAGCACTGCACTAAAACAAATGTCAGTTGCTCGAAATTAATTTTGCTCATTTTTCATTTCAAGTTTTCTAGTGCAAATATGAAGAGTAAAGTGATAGCTGTTAATGTGTTGTCTCCATTAGCAAAAAAAGAACTTCTTAAACAGTTAAATGATACCAGTTTTATACCAATGTCATCAGAGGTTTTAAAAGGAAATGTGTGAAATTCCAATAATGGTTTACTTTTTCGTTCAATTCATGGAAAGAATTCATGGTTTCTCATTTGGAAGTTCATTCTGTCGAAAGTGAAATATATAATATTATTAGGAATTCTAACTAAATTCAGTTGAAAAGTTCAACACTAAAAATGAAATTCTTTATTTTTGCAGTAACAATACAAAAATACAAACTTTGGTAGAGCACAGCATTGTGTTAGAAACAATGTTCTTACTAAAGTAAGAAATCTATGAAACACAAATGTACTCAGGAATTGGTTGCAGAACACATATAATTCCAGATTGTGTCCAAATGAGCTGTGATAATATACCAGTCAAAAAAGAAACAATTGTCAAATTCTCAGATAATTTTATTTACACCCAGAATAACTGAACCACAAAATTTTTGTAACAAACTGATGTTAAATACAAAATAATACTTTGGCATTGCAGTACATGCTTTCTCTCTCTGTTGGCCATCATCATTTAGATTTTTTTAAAACATTTGAGTCTTTGAAGAATGACTGTAAAACACAACGCAAGTGTCCTATAATGTTGTTATCATTATTAGAAACAAGTCCTCTAAATCTTGACTGCATTTTGTTCAAAATCTTTAATCAAAGCATTCAACTTAAGCCATTGAAGCTTCTAGTGAAATCCAATTACATTAATGAAAACAAAGCTCATGAACAGGAAGACTATGAAATTTATCCCTATGAAAGCAAATGAGAATTGACCAAACTGAACATTAAAAGCTGGAATAATGAATGATTTAATTTTGAAATTCCGTAACTGCACTTTGGAATATCTTGACTTGTGGGAAGAATCTTTTGATGGAATGCCTATTTTTAATTGCATAAATTTATGTTCTATGCCAGAATGAAATGAAATTGAGAAGGCTTAAAACAGTCAAAAGAATCAGAGAAAACTTATTTAATTGAGAATCTTCCATTTAGTAGAATTTGCTCTGAGCTTACCAGGTACCTTAGAACCTGAAGAGTAGGCAATGGGCAGCCTATACGTCTACCTTAGTCCAAGCTTCCATCACTTTCTATCCTAGCCTCATCTTAGCCCAAGCTTCCATTATGTTCAACAAGACTTAACAAAAGTACCTAATAGTCCCCCTGCATCCATTCCTGCTCCTTCTAAAACTCATTTTCCACATATCTTTTCAAAAACAAGTATCTGATCACATCTCCTCTCTACTTCAAATGTTTAATAAGGTTTCTAGCACTTTTAGGATAAAAACAAGATTCCTTGGTAAAGCCCAGAAGGCCTCATATAGGCCACTCACTGCCTACCTTCACAGATTCATCTCTCATCAATCTCTATATATTTCAGTTCTTTGAAAATACTATGGTCTGTGTTACCACAGGGCCTTTGCACATACTGTTCCTGCTGCCTGAAAGGTAACACCCTCCAGCACCCACTAACACCACCACCCATTTCTTTGTTTCTTAACGTTTATTCATTCTTCAACTCTCACCTCAAGAAATACTTCCTCAGGGAAGCCTTCCCTGCCTCCTCAAACTAGATCTGTTGCCCCTCATATATACTTATCATTGAGCATATCACTTTCTAAGTGTATTTCCAAGTATATATTTATTTTGTGATTAAATCACTCAGTGTCTGTGGATCCAAAAAAGACCTTAAGCTCAGTGAAGGAAAAGATTGTGCCTTGTTTGCACTATTTTATCTCTGGCCCCCAGGAGAGAAAACACTCCAATACTTTTTCAATAAATGAATCTGCATGGGATAAGAGGGTAAGGCACACAATTGGACGCATTGAATAGGAACAGAACTTAGAAAAGTAAAAGGCCCCAGGGCAGCCCTGAGAAAATATCACCGTTTAGGAATGGGGTAGAAGAAAATAAGTTAGGAAAACTCTCATCTCCTTTGGAATTAAGATTTTACACTCGTTAACTTTTCTGATCTACTAAAACTACTATGACGTTCCAAATCAAACAATAAATCTAAAGAAAATACATTCGCCATTTTAGATTTCAACATTATTTCTATCTGCATGAGTTATTTTAAGCTGACTGCACATATGACAAATAAGAATACATGTTCTAATATTTACACCTGAAAGGGTTTTTTTGTTTCTTAAAGTACCTTACCTCCCAGAATCATCGAAACAGACATCGGTGTGTCCCTCCGTATGTCCATATCTCATCGGCTTCTGTGTGGCAGGCATCTGTTCCTTTATTTACCTGAAAATGTTTTATAAAAGCTAGTCTTAATATTTTAAAAGAGAGGAAAGCCGGGGGCTGAAGGGGAAGAAGAGAGATTAATCTCCTCCCGGGCACGCTCTCTGCAGCCCTGTTTCCCGCTCCCGAGTGGCAAAAGCAGGACTGCAGCGGAGGATACCAGACAATAAACCAGGAAAGCAACACGCTTCTTTTCTTTAGGCGGCACAGGCAGCGGGAGCGAGCATTCACGGAGGGGATCGAATCTCTGTGGCTGTGAAAAAAATGCAAGCGCCGGCGTAGCGCCGCTTCCCGCGCTTGGGCGAGCTTGCTGCACTGCGCCTGCGCAGTCCCACGCATGCCCAGCGGAGGCCGGGACAGAGGTCGTCGGGTGATGGCGTCAGCTGCGCGCCGGCTGCAAGGAAAAAAGGCGAGAGTCGGGAGGAGTAAAAGAGGAAGGGAAGGAACCTGGTACGGAAGTGGTGGCAGCGCCTGGGGAGCAGGCGGAGGCGGTGACCGCGACGGCCGAGACAGAACCAAGCGCCGAAAGGAGGGGTTGTAGAAAAGCATCCGCCTTGTAGGACCTACACGAGGTGCAGGAGTGGCCAAACCTCTCTTTTCAACCTCAGAGAACACCCCGAGTGATGGCGGTGGTGATGGCGGCGGTTACTCGGACAGCTATAGTTGAGCTGCGCTCCAAGAGGTGAGTGGGGGAAGGGTGGCCGCTGCCTGGTCTTGCAGACGCGGGTCTTGCGCCCACATGTCAGGCTCTCCTCACATGCAACCGTATCCAGATCCCTGAATGGATCCAGCTCCTCCTTGAGACTGAGATCTTTGGGCATTTCCTCTAGAGAAAAGGTGAATCTCTTCTCGAGCCTTTAATCTTGGCATCCTTCTCGCCCTTACCTTGTCACCTCGGTAGAGATAAAGGAAGGAAGACTTCATCTCAGTTCCGGTTGGTTACTCTCGGTTCCTGGAGAGACAGCTTGTACGTTATTGAGTGTTCTTTGTGACACCATCCGCATTTTCCATAAGAAGTAATTTAGGTTTCCCCTCTTCAGACCCCACTTAAAGTACACCGAAGAGCGTGTTTAGATCTAAAAGTAGAGCTAGAACGAAAGTATATTACTCAATTTGGTCCTTGGCAATTTGTGCTAAGGTCTTGGCCATTGTATTTGTGATTTTCTTGTGTCTTAATGTTCTCCATATTGGGAGACCGATCTCTGATTAAACCTTCACGAGAATGTTCTTCCATTGGTATTTATCTTTGAGGATTTTTCTGAGGTTTTGTGGTATCCACCTTCCAGTCTCAATTAGACTTAGCTTATGACATAAGTGAGTTTTTCCGTTGTAGAGATTTCCTCGTGGTTTTTCAATCTAATTCCATTGTGAAAGGTTGCGAACACACAGACAAACCGTGGTGTTCTTACCGTGGTGGTATTGTGTGGGGATTATCATCAGTCAGGGCCTCAAATATGCTTGCTAGACACTGAAGTGTGGTATATGAATTAAGAGAAAGAGTAATTGGCTCAAAAAAAATGGAATTTGTGGGAAAATAATCTATTGTTGAATTCCCTCTGAAGCAAAAGTTACCTGATATGATTCTCTCTGAGTGACTTAGTTTTATTTGGAGATGATTGATTTTTGGATAGGATGATTTATAATTTTCTTTTTATCCAAGTAACTAAATATCATTAGATGGAGTATGGGGTTCCAGACGAACTCTGATAATACTCATCTCTATCTTCAATAAGTCATGATCAGATTTCAGTGTAGCACTATTCAGAGCTCAGTATAAGAGGAATCTACAGATTGGAACAAGAGTTACAGCTATAAAATGCCCTACATATGCCTATAATACCATGTTACTTTAAAACTGTGAATGGTGTCCACACATTTGTCCTTTCTTAGTAATCAAGCTGTTTAATTCATAAGTTAAAGAAAAATTTCTCTTTACAAATTTCATATGTGTGAAAAGAGTCGAACAGCTCTAGATTTAATTTTTACTCTGCCAGTTGCTTATTCTGTGACCTTGAATATGTTACTTTATTTTTTGAACGTTGGATTCATCTCTAAAATGGAGATGATACTTACCTTTATCAAATTGTTATAGTGCATAGGAGATACTCATAGATGTATGAAACTAATCATTATTAGTGTCTAGTGTTTTTTTTAAACAGGGTACTTTGGGTGGGCATTTAGCGGTTTCATTTAAAATGGAGTTTGTTTAAATCATTACCCAGTAAAATTTTTCAAATATTAAAAGATGTATTCTTGCTTTTGCTGGTATAATATATTTTCTCTGGCATTGTTGGTCAAATATCTACAAATTTTTTTTAAGAAAGGTTCTTGCCTTTAATGAGCTTGTAGTGGTCTTGTTGAGGGAAACAGATACAAACAAATATGTACAAAATGATAGTGCAATAATGAAACGTGTGCAGTTTAAATATTAGCAAAATTAACTGGTTATTTAAGATGGCATGGCTTTAAAAAAAAAGAAACCAATGTAGCTGTCAATGATATGACTCAAAAATTTCTGAATGGATTTATTCATCATTAACAGTGCACACTCATAGGAGTGGGTGGCTGAATGAACTCACTGAAAATGATGCCAGAGTCGCAGGTTCTATTTCAGTGAACGTTAGCTTTGCTCTGTTGTGGTCACTCATAGCTCACAAAAACTATTGGTCTCAAGGGCAGTAGAGTTAGAAACATTAATTCATTACCATTCTACTGACGATGGTGAGTATTATCTATACAAATAATAATATATAATCTTACAAAGCAGTTTATCCAAGAGGTATATTAGTAATGCGTTATGGAAGGAGTTAAAAAGTGCCTTTTCAATAAAATACATATTTGATATAATAAGAATTAGTCCTGTGAAAGCAAAGGCCAGAACAGAGTGCTGAGGAGAACAAAGTATTGAAAAAATAATATAGAAGGCAGCTTAGAAATCCAAATGTTTTTATATTTCTGAAAGTGTCTTGAAACTACCAACTTATTTATTTGGGTAAATAATACATGCACGTGTTCAAACTTCCTAAAGTATAAAAGGGAATACAGTAAAATGTCTCCATTCTACCCCTGCCCCCAGCCATTCAGTTCCCCTGGCTAAAGACAGTCAGTGTTTGATTCTTGTGTTACATTGGCACTGGATCCTTACAACAGCAAGACAGATATAGTCACTGTTTTGTAGATGAAAAAACTGTGGCTCAGAAAGATTGTGATTTATCCAAGGTCACACAGCTACTAAATGTCAGAGCTAGAAATAGAACCCAGATCTTTCACCTTCTAATCCAAGGTAGTCTACCACACTGCCTCTCCAAATCATAGCTGTTGCCATAAAACTTAGTTTTATAAAACATTATCAGGACTTAAAAGCAATTTTAAGTCTAGAGTCACCTTATACTAGTTTGTAGGTGAAACTTGTTACCCAAGCTTAAATGAAGCATATGTAATTATTGTAAAGCAATGAAAAGAATAATCCATAATTAGTTAAAAATAAAAACTTAAACGCCTAGCAAAGTTATGTTATCTATATTTTTAAAACAATAATTAAAAAAATAAGAAACCCATAAAACAGCATGTGTGCTACTGTTACATGAGAAACTATTTGTTCTGTAAGCCTTCACCTGAAGTACAATAAAATATTTAAAAAAAAAAAAAAAGAAACCTATGCCTACAATTTTGGTCAAAATCTATTTACTAAGCTTACAAGAAACTGCAAATTTTTTGTTACTAAAAGTTTGGTTATTTACATCAATAATACTTTTAAAGAATTTGAAACTTAAAAAAGAAAGTAATATATCAGGCGCAATATAAAGTGCTTTGTGATATTCTAGAAATGCTGATGCCTACTAAATTAGATTTTTGAGTTATGTTTTTGTACAGATTTTCTAGCCTTGTACTTTCTAAGAGCTTTCTAGTTAAGCAACAATACAGCCTTTGTTTCCTCTCTTTCCTTTTTTCTTAATTTTGTCACTTTCCCACCTCTCATTTTTATTAGCAATGAGCTTCTACATGAACAGTTCTGAGTAATACGAAGAGGGAAGGCTGCTAATACTTATTTTCATTAAGTTCAGTGTATTTCGCTTTCATACATTTTAATTCTGACAGTAGAAGCATGAGGTAGCTGGCATTATCCAGAGTTTACAATGGGAAAACTAAGGCTAAAGAAGATTTAAAAAGTCAGATAAATAGCTAATAAGTGGTAAAATCTGAATTTTAGCCCATTTTTCAAGACTTAGGTCAAGCTGTTTCATATGCACCATGCTTTATTTTTAAATATGGCTTAGTGCAAAACAGTGTAGATTGTTAATTTTTTATGGATCTTTAACACTTGAAAATTTTCACTTTAGAACAAATTGCTCTCATAGAAAGAGACTGCAAGGAAATATGCCAGAATGTCAAAACTGGTTGCCTCGAGGTAATGGAATTAGTTTTTTTCTCCTTTTTAAACATTTCTGAGCTATCCAGATATTGAATATTAAACATACTGTTTTTATAATTAAAAAATTACAAATTGGGAAAAAATATACCTATCCAATGCAATTTATTCTCTAAAATAGTTGCAATAGTATATCTTAAGTATTCTGGTTCCCAGGATACTGTTAATCTTCCTTCCACTTTTAGAAGTTCATGTACTGCCAGCTCTTAGTTTTCTGCTCTGTCCTCATTCTAGATTAGCTTTCTTCAGTGACAGGTTCCTAGACATTTCTCCCTGTCTTTAGCTAACAAGCTCAGAAATGCGCACTCATTTTAATACTAGCCCAGGTTAATGTTTCCCGAAAGTTTATTTCACAAAAAAGAGTCGTGGTAAATTAAAAATAGGGAACTGTGGCTTAAGCAGGTTTCTTTATTGAAGTACCTCCCAGAACTTTTGGCTAAATATGCTTTGTGATCTTTCAGAGAGGAAGCATTTCCCAAACTTGTTTGGCAAGGGAGCCCCTTTTTCTCCAGGATATGTATTAACATCTTTCAGAACTCGTGTCCATAAGAGTACAGATTGGGGAAGACTGGCATAAGCAAACTCTATAAGGAAAGTAAGTGGGGAGAAAGGAAGGAAGATGTAGTGGTACTAATCAAGGATTTCTTTTTTTGTTTGTTTCTCTTTTTTATATCATCCAGTTAAGTCCCATGAGCCTTGGCTCAGTTAAAAGGAGATACTTTAAAATATTTACTGGAAGATGAACCTGTATTGCTTTTGTAATGAGAATTTTTTTTTTTTTTAGTTCAGAGGTTTTTCTCATAGAAACAAACCAGTTTTCTGTATTTTTTCCTTAACATTCTGAAGAGTTCATCTGTTGTCTGCTACCCAGTAAATTCCGTTTGTGTAGCCTAAACAGTTCCACAGAATCCAACTCCAGTATCACAGACTGTGATCAGAATGCTTTCAAGGAGTTTCTGGTACATGATAAACCAAAAACCAAAACCAAACCCGTTGCTGTCTAGTCGATTCTGACTCATAGCTACCCTACAGGACAGAGTAGATCTGCCCCACAGAGTTTCCAAGGAGCGCCTAGTGGATATGAACTGCTGTCCTTTTGGTTAGCAGTCGTAGCTCTTAACCACTACACCACCGGGGTTTCCTTGGTGCATGATGGCAGGTAAAATTTGGAATCATGAACCTGGTAGGGAAATTCCCTGGGCTGAATTATTATTATCAGAATAATAATTTATTTGTGAATTTTTTATGTAGTATACTGAATTATGCTTTATAGAAGTGAAATTTATTTCCCTTGGTATTTACATGAATTCTGGTCCTAGATATACTTCAATATTGTAGACATAGTAGGTGTTCAATAAATAATTAACGTCTAATAATGCTGCTGTTATCTAACATAAACAAAAAAGATAAAAACCAAACCCATTGCCATCGAGTTGATTTCGACTCATAGTGACCCTGAAGGACAGAGTGGAACTGCTCCATAGGGTTTCCAAGGCTGTAAATCTTTGTGGAAGCAGACTGCCACATCTTTCTCCTGCAGAGTGGCTGGTGAGTTCAAACTGCTGACCTTTTAGTTAGCAGCTGAGTGCTTTAACCACTCACCACCAGGGCTCCTATTATGTAATATAAGGAATACAAATGACTTTTCCAAACAAATAAAATTAAACCCTTGAATTATTGGGTTTTGACAGTTTTCTGTGTGTCATAGATTGAATTGTGTCCCCCAAAAAATGTGTGTAGCAACTTGGCTAGGTCATGATTCCCAGTATGGTATGATTGTGCTATCTGATGTGATTTCCTTATGTGTTGTGAACTCTACTGCTGTGATGAGATTATATGTGATCTCCTCATGTGTTGTAAATTCTGTCACTGTGTACTGATGAGGTTGACAAGATTAGTGTCTTAATGCAATCTCTTTTGAGATATAAAAGAGAGAAGCAAGCAGAGATACATGGAAACCTCATACCACCAAGAAAGCAGTGCTGGGAACAGAGCGCGTCCTTTGGACCTGAGGTTCCTGCGCAGAGAAACTCCCAGACCAAAGGAAGACTGATGACATGGACTTTCCTCCAGAGCCGATCGAGAAAGCGTTCCCCTGGAGCTGATGCCCTGAATTTGGACTTGTAGCCTACTGTACTGTGAGAGAATAAATTTGTCTTTGTAAAGCCATCCACTTGTGGTATTTCTGTTGGAGCAGCACTAGATGACTAAGACACTTTGGAAATCTTGAATTAAAATCACCTTCCCTGCCTTATTCAATAGAAGTAAATAAATATTATTTTAATCTTTTTTCATGAAGAATTACCACGATGAGCATTCATCTATTATCACTATCATTGCAATTGGTGGTAGGACCTGGGACTAAATGACTAGTGAATCTGGGAACTTCCTTTCTTGAAAAAGGCCTTTTAGACATTTGCTGCTTGCTCATTAAGAAAAAAAAAATTTTTTTAATGCCACTGTGTAATCCCCAGGGCAGTGTAACATAGCTGCCTTCATAAAAAATTAATTATTGAATC